CCCCCCACTCTTCTCCCCCCCGCGCCTATATTTATAACGTCAATACGACCTAATAGATATGTACTTAAGAGGTAGAGTTTCAAAAAATAATGAGATCGCGATTGCAGCGCGTACTTTTTTCTTCCCGAAGAGATGCAGAGAATGTTTTGTGCGAGTAGATTTGCGATGCCGTGCAATTTCCGGTGCGCGCGTTTCCTCAGTTTTACTTATTTACTTCTATTTACGGAAATATAAGAGGAAAATAAAGACAAATGTACAAGTAGTGAAAAGGGGAACTCGAAATTTTTAATAGAAGCAGGAGGTCAGTCCTCCTACACCAGAAAGAAAGTAAGCTTAACTTTGACAAAAGACTTACAGTCGTGGCTCATGATCAGTACAGAGTTGCCCATTTGAGAACTGACCCGTTCCTTAAAGATTGATCTTCGTGATGCGTTCCCTACTTAACTCGGTAATACTCGAAATGTATAAATATTTGTTCTATCACGTACTGGCAATTTGCATCGCGAAGCGATCGGTCGATTATAAAACGCGATCGTCGAGAAGCGAAATACTCAATTATCTTTTTCGCCCGTGCGTTCTTCAGGATATCGATAAGATCCTGAAGAAGATACGGGTCGAATACGTGAAGCGCTCTGTTACCAAAGATGCTGCCAGAGAAGTAAGGGCGCCGAAATCAACGTTAACCGAAATTCTCAGCTCGTTCGACGCGCCCTAAAGCCCCTGAAAAGGGACGAGGACTGCAATTAGGGAGTTCCCTAAAAAAACCGGCCCTGCGGCTGCGAAGAAGGCGATGCAGGCAGGGGATCAGGGATGCACGAGGTTTCTCATGGCGATGAATACGCGCTTCACGCATCAGATATCGCGCCAACCAGCCAGCCGCCTCGGCCTGGCGAAGAAGAGCTTCGGGCGAAAAGTTACCCGGATGCCGCGGTCCGCTGGAGTAACCTCGGATAATAAATAAAACGTCGGTGGGAAGAGAGAAGAGTGCCGGGTCTGCCGGCGATACCCGACTTGAAGCCGGGGGTGGCGGCAGCGGTGGCGGATGGCACTCGAGTCGCTGAGTCGAGAGAGTGAAAAGTCGAGAGAGGGACTTCTACGGAGAAAAAGAGGGAGGGAGAGGGGGGGAGAGAGAGAGAGAGAGAGAGAGATAAGGGAGGAGATAAAAGGGCGAAGGGGGACAAAATGACTCTCTTAAGATAACGAGTCACTTCGTCTGCCAACGAGCATTCGCGCCAGAGGACGCGCCTTCCCGTTTGCTTGTGTCGTCCGCCATGGTGCCGGCGGGCAAAAACCAAGCAGCCTCTCGTCGGAGGAACCGTGTGTGCACCGTCGTATGTACTGTTGTGGACGCGCGTAAATGTACTTTAACCCTTTGCGCTACCAACGGGACATGTATGCCCCGGGACATGTGTTTTCCCCACCATTAATAATAACCTTATTCGACTAAATAAACAGCTTTTTTTGGCATTCAGAACACACTAGCTATCACCCTATTTTTTGTTACTACGTCGGGACATTTTTGCTAGGACACAAAAAATTCCAATGGAGCACCAGTGTGCCCCGGCCCTATCCCTTTGGCGCTGAACATAAAACTTTTTTTTGCTAAAACTACATTGCATCAATGTGTATTTGCGGAAATAGAAGTAAACAAAAATGGTACCTTTAGAGAACAAAATTGGCAGCAAAAGGGTTAAGAAACAATATCGCGAAAATCGCCACCGGGAATTATCGTGTCCGCGGGCGAACAATCGCGGATTCTCTCAGTCGTAATACGAGGATCGTAAGCACGTGTTTCAATGAGGAGCACAACGAAGGGTGAAAGAAGCGTGGTGTGAGTATGAATAACGGGGCAGACGTTTTAGAGCAGGGAGCAAGAATAATGAAGAAAATGAGAACCAACGGCGCGAATTACTTAGGCGCTACGTTCTCGCGCGTCGAAGAAAGTGCGGTGCAGACAACTGGTTTAACAAATGTCCAATGCTACCTAATTGGTGTGGAGTAATTAGCGAAATTGTACCCTTTCCCTTTCTCTCTTCTTTCTGCGGAGAGGCAACCGTTGGGAATCTCGCGTTAGCCAAAGTGAGACTGGTGAGAGAGAACAATAGCGCGTTAATCTAATCGCAGTGATTCTATCGGCACTCGATATCGCCGTATACGGACGATGCACGCACAATATAATGTGGTTATAGTTTAGCGAACTGTGCGACGCACACCGAGGTGAGGAGGGAAATTGCAGAGTTGTCAAAGTACCGATAACGCTAATATCTCACGCGTGCGTTACACATTCGAGCGTGAATCGAGTATGTTCTCGACGCCTCCCCCTCCCGCGGCCATCTACACCCGCGCTCCTTCCTTCTGCAGCGTTCACTTGTCTCACCGAATTAGCATCCGTCAGAGCGTTGTTACGATATTAAAATTAAATGGATGGCGCATAATGGATCGCGCGGCGCCCCCATCAAAGAACGCCGCGATCCGCGTTTGACGATGCATCACGCGTCGACTTACGGACGCAAATTGCGCCCGACGTAAAATCGAAATATAATTTTCCGTGCCTCCCGCGGCGCCACCGGCAGAGGCACACCGCGTGTGCGGATTCCATCGCGCGCAACGAACTTTGTACTCTCGCGATTTGCATCCGCCGTTGCGCGCATCGGCGGCGGCGGCGGCGGCGCCGGTAGCAACGGTGGCGGCACAAGAACGTTTTCGTTCAACTTGCGTGGCATAATTCCGCACGGCGAATACTACGGTTGGTTGCATTGCTCGACGAAGAAGAAAATAAACTTTACGGCCAAGCATTCTCGAGGGTACGTCGACTGGATGGGAGAAGGAGAGGAGGGGAGGAGGGCTGTAGAGACCATCGATGCGGCGCATCCCGAAAAGTATTCCTGGGGTAGAATCCCGTCGGCGGTCCGTATAAGGGCGTTCGGTGTTTCCTGTTAAACGATTCGACCTGGAAGCGTGCCTAGAGCTTTTTACACGGTTAACACGATCGACGCTGGCAGATGGTAGGGGATGGTCGATTTACAAGGTACGACGGTGTCACACACTCGGCCGGGTCGGTATATGTCTATATGTGCGTGCGGGTGAATTGAATGTGTGTATGTGTGCATAAATCTGTACATACACGCGCCCCGGCGCGGCTATGTGTGTATTTTAATCAATACCCTGTTGACACCGCGACCAGGGAACATAAATCATAAGACAATGGAAAATGGCGCGAAGGGGGTGGAGCAACAGCGGGATCTAAGTATTCCATTGTCGTGTACGTGCCGAGACAGAGCGCGGGCCGTTGCATGCACAGCGGGACTGCGCGATAGTTGGTGCGCCAATCGCGAAATTTATTCAACTTGAGCCTCTCATTTACGTTAAATTACAACGGCGAAAGAGTGAAATGAACTCTTTCTCCGCTGTCCCCGCGGATACGGTGTGCGTTGATGAACGGCGCAAATATCGGCGCGCGAGATACTCTCCTGCGATCCTAATACAAATTTAATAACGCTCTCGCGACAATACAGTTCGCGGGAAAGTAAGTACTTTTTCATCCGTCCGCGCGCTCGCGCATTGCGAAACTGATTTCACCGGCGTCATTAATTATAACACCAGTAACGTCCCTGCCAAACCGATTTCAGGAATAATGCGTTTTCAAACTTTGATCAATAATGCGTATAATGTAATCAACGACAACGATCACGATCGGTCGATCGGAAAAGCGTGGCGAACAGCGGCACCGTTCGGAAGCGTGTCGTTTTTTATTCGCACGCAATTTCCGCGTAAGCGCGCGCAACCGTGTGGCGCGCGATCGATCATTAGTTTTCGTGATGTAACCGCGTTCCTTAAATCGGATAGCGGCGCGCCAACTAAATCTGCATGAAACGAGCCGTTCAAGCGAGTACTACGCTCGTTAGCTCGAACTTTATAAGACAGCAATTTCTACAAAATGATCGAGTATTCATCTTTCCGTCGTGTGTGAGCAAACATGAACGTTGCACAC